ATTCTATCCCACTTTCTTGCCGCTTTCTTGCCGCCAGTGTGATAACGTCCAAAGTCAATTCAAGGATAGCTAACAGCAACAACACGCCATTTCTTGCTTCTGTATTATGCATAATACTTGATCCATTCATTTTGGAAAGTAGGACATTTAAGAACTATCACTGTCATCATTTCCTCTAATAGTGAACTCTGGCAAAGAAGTGCCTACCAGTTTGCAACTGCAACACAATCACACAAAAATGAAGTAGTGGCATTTGAATACTAAAGAGACTCCTTAAGTAAGCTGAACTATATAACAATTTACATTTTTCTAAAAAAAATAATAACATAAATTCAGCACATCCTGAGAAGAACTTGTAAGCTTCAAGGATGTGCAGAGTGTTGGGGTGGCAGCTGGGGGACAGGAAAGAAATATAAGAGGGAGTAAAGAGACGCAGTAATTGGCCTGTCTAACAGCTTTATCCTGAACAGATGGATCCGGGCTTATGGGGTAAAGAATTTCCTGTCTTAAGTATTTTTAAATCTCTCCTTCTGACTCTATTTAAGGAGGTTTTGAGAGGGGGAAAATTACACTTTTTCCCCTTCCCACTCTCCAGAAGCCTCATCCCCATAATAGAAACATGATGGTATCAACAATGAGCTCCATCATTATATATTAGGCCACTACATTTCTAGCTACTGTCACCCCCAACTTTATGACCACCGCTCATGATCACATTTCTCATTTTGTATTTGCTCATCTGCCTGCTTGCCCATGAAGCCTCCTCCAGCAGTGCCAGTTCTGTCCTTTTTCATCAGTATGGCCTTTGGGTGATCAGACTCCTCTTCTTGTGACCAACCCAGAACTGCAGATATTTCCAAAGTCTTGATTTTGTTACATTTCTCCAAGTCGCATCTCTTTTTCTGCCCACCCTTCCTTTGCATTAGGTTGTGAGCCTTTGTTGTTCCTTTCCCCTGGCCAATCAATGTTTGTGTGTGTGTGTCTTCAAGTTGCCTGTCAGCCTGTGACAACCACATCAGTTTCATATGT